AGAGAACCCCAAACAAAAGGAATCCAAAGAGGACCACACCAAGACACATCATAATTAAAATGCCAAGAGCAAAAGACAAAGAGAGAATCTTAAAAGCAGCAAGAGAAAGACAGTCAGTTACCTACAAGGGAGTACCCATACGAATGTCAGCTGATTTCTCAACAGAAACCATGCAGGCCAGAAGAGAGTGGCAAGAAATATTCAAAGTGATGAATAGCAAGAACCTACAACCAAGATTACTTTATCCAGCAAAGCTATCATTCAGAATAGAAGGTCAGATAAAGAGCTTCACAGATAAGAAAAAGCTAAAGGAGTTCATTACCACCAAACCAGCATTATATGAAATGCTGAAAGGTATTCTTTAAGAAGAGGAAGAAGAAAAAGGAACTCTTACCATTTGCCACAGCATGGATGGAACTGGAGAGCGGATAAATACCACATGATCTCACTCATTTGTGGAATATAATGAACAACATAAACTGATGAACAAGGACTGATCCAGAGGTAGAGAGGCATTGATTGGACTGTCGGGCCTTGGAGGGAAGGTAGGGGAGGGTGGGGGTAAGGGAGAAAGATCAACCAAAGGACTTATATGCAAGCATATAGGCCTAACCAATGGACACGGACAACGGGGGGGGCGGGGGTGAGGGCATGAGCGGGGGGAGGTAGGGGGTAACGTGGGGATAAGGACACATATGTAATATCTTAATCAATAAAAAATATATTAAAAAAAAGTAAGTAGATAATAGCTGAGTAAATATTGAAAGAATTTTTTTCTGGGGAAAAACCCATCAAGATAAGGACCTAAAGTTTACAACAGTGTAGTTGTGAAGAAGTAAAAAGAAACAGAGATGACATGCTAGATATTGATTTTTTCTACCTTAAATCTGTCAAAGTGATAAAATCACCTTTCTTAAAATCATCTTAAAATCACCTTTTCAGCTTACCCTCATAAGCATACTCTTGTAAATGAACAGAGGCTGTCATCTGAATACTTCAGTTTTACAAATTATGTGCTAAGGCATTGAAAACTAAATATCATTAAATAAATTGCAAATACAAGTGGTAAAGCATATTTATCTACAGATACATTTTCAGGAATGAAAATTTCAGGATATTCCTTATTATTGTCTGAAATAAAGAATGTGTATTCATCTCTTATGTTAGAGTTCCATCTGTAAAGTGGAATTAATGTTGCTTTTCATGCAAAATGTAGTAAAATGATAACAAATAGATTTATATCTGTCAAGTCCTCTGAGCTTCTTAGAATGATATCACTGTATTAGAAGGGCAGAATATTTGTAATTTTGTTACTGCCTGCCAAAAAAGGCAACATGGAACTAATAATAGAGAGTCAGAAAGTGGATTCATATAACAAAATAAACTACTTGGAATCATTCTAGTAATTTACAAGTATTATTTCCTCATATTGGAACTTGGAAAGAACATGACTGCTATTAAAGAATAGAGGACAGCCAAAGCCGGTTTGGCTCAGTGGATAGAGCGTCGGCCTGCGGACTGAGAGGTCCCAGGTTCGATTCCGGTAGAGGGCATGTACCTGGATTGCGGGCACGTCCCCAGTGGGAGATGTGCAGGAGGCGGCTGATCGATGTTTCTCTCCCATCGATGTTTCTAACTCTCTATCTCTCTCCCTTCCTCTCTGTAAAAAATCAATAAAATATTAAAAAAGAAAAAAAAAGAAAAAAAAAAAGAATAGAGGACAGATGTCCAATGGAGGGAGAAACTGTTACAGATAATCATAAATGACAGGCACAATGATGAGAACTTACAGGAAGAATCCAAATTCCTTCAAAAGATGCCGAGATGAAAGAAGCAGTAAAGCTTTTGTCAGTATGTTGTCTGAAAATGCATTGTCATCAGTTTCCCTGAGAGAGATATTGAAGGTCAAAGGCAATAATGCAGAAGAAGCAGTTGATTGTGCTGGAAGAACCAATTGATATGAGGAAATAAATTATATGATTCTATGAAGATTGAAGATAGCATTGTAGTGATGTATATCATTGGAGTAATTTAAGTGTGTTTTCCCCTCACCTTCCTCTTCGCTTTCTATAGTTTAATTACAGCATGATATAATATCCTTTCATGTAATAATTATCAGGATAAAACTTTATGTACTGAGAAGATAGGTCAGTTTTGACTAGAAGGTGATTTCAAATAGGATTTTTCAAATTTTAAAAAATACTTCTCTATAAAATATATGCTTTTGAGCCAATGAGAAGATAGCTGTTAGTTTTGTATATTATATAAATGTAATGGAATCTTATTAAAATGTGTCTGTTGCTTGCTCTGATTTAAGACTACATTGTATAGGAGACCTCCATTATCATGAATTCACTTTAGCATTGTAACACCATTGATTTGGTTCAAAAGAGATTCACACGATGCCAGTTTCCCACTATTGTTAAACAGGGTACTTAGAGGTTCAGTTAATTATGGTACTTTGATATGTGATCTATTTGTTGGCCCTATTTACTTTCCTCCTTCACTTCCTCTCTTTTTGCCATTTTTAAGACTTTTCTATACTGCACCCTGTCCCTTAAGATAGAGTGTTTCTGTGTAGTGGGTAGATTAATGAATATCATCATCAATCCTCCTATATAATAAAAGGCTAATATGCTAAGTGTCCAGTCATCCTGTTGGCTGTTCAACCAATCAAAGTGTAATATGCTAATGATTTGCTAAGGCTGCTCAACTGCTCTCTGACATACACTGACCACCAGGGGGCAGATGCTCCAACTGGTAGGTTTGCTTGCTGCTGGGGTCTGGCAGATTGGAACTGAGCAAGACAGGCCTGGCATGCCCTGGACCCCTCCCTCAGTCCCTCCTCAGCTGGCCAACCTCCCGTGTCCCTCCCCGACCCTGATCGTGCACAGGTGGGGTCCCTCAGCCCGGCCTTCACCCTCTTGCTGTCCAGGACCCCTCAGGGGTTGTCAGAGAGCTGGTTTCGGCCAATCCCTCAGGCCAGGCCAAGAGACCCCACTGGTGCACGAATTCGTGCACTGAGCCTCTAGTATTAAATAATAATTAGAGAAATGAGGGCTGCTTTTATGTAATATTGAAAGCAAATCTTAGTATAAATGGACCTTCCCTCATGTTTATCTTGAGCGATAATAGCAACAGTATTCACAATGATGCTCCAGTTTATCTTTGTTCAAACATTAGTTATTACTCTTTGCCTTCTAAACAAAACAAAAAATACCTTAGGATGGAGGTCAGCAAACTTATTCTTTAGAGGTCTATATAGTAAATATTTTAGACTTTGTAGGATGTATGAGCTCTCTCATAACTATTCACCTTTGCCAGCCCTGTAGCACAAAATCCGCCATAAGATGATATAAATGAATGTGCCTTGCTCTACCCCAATAACATTGTATTTATAGATACTGAAATTAGATTTCATATAGTTTCACATATCACGAAATATTTTTCTTTTGCTTTTTTTCAATCATTAAAAAATAGAAAGATCACTCTTAGATTGTAGGCCATGCCAAAAAAAAAAAAGCAACAGGTAGGATTTGTCCCATTGGCTGTGGTTTGCTAACCCTATTTTAGAACACTCCTGTTCTGTACTAGCATATACTCTGTTAATTAAAAGCCCATAGTTTTTGAGCTTTCAGAAGATTGCTGTGAGAATTTAAGACAGAGAAAGGAGATGTCCCACAAGAAATTAACACTTCACAGACTCAAATATGTCCTGAATACCTATTTTAAATGCCAAGTACTGTTCAAGATATTGGGAATATAGCAATAACCAAAGAAGTCAAAATTCCCTGCCTCTTTAGAATTCACATTTTAGTGGGGTGACACAAATATAAGTAAACAAGGAACAAGTGTTGTATTAGGGATGGTGATAAGTACTATGGATAAAAATATACCAGGGGAGGTGGATAGGTAGCAGGAAAGAGGATTGTAATTTTAAATAAGGCCATCAAGGAAGGCTTCGTTGATAAGGTGACATTTGAGTAAACATCTAAAGTAGGAGAGGGAATAAGCCATGGATCAAGTAGGACCTGTATCTTACCCTTAGAGTAATGGAGAGTTTTGAACAGAGGTGTGGCATGATTTGACTTGTATTTTAACTGGGAAACCATTTAAGAGGCTATTGAAATAATCCAGGTGAAAAATTATAGTGACTTACTAGTAAACCAGTGATATAGAGGTGGAGTTAGTGAAAAATACATTATTGATACATTTTGAAGGTAGAGATAACAGATTGGAGTAAGAAAAAAGTTAAGTATAATACCCAGGATTTTGACTTGGCAATTGGAAGGATGGAGTTGCCATTTACTGGATAAGACTGTGGGAAGAGTAGATTTGAAGAGGTAGATCAGGAGTTTTACTTTGATCATGGAAACTTGAACTGCCTTTAAGATATCCAAGTAGAGATGTTAAGTTGGCTGTTAGATATTTGCATCTGGAGTTCAGAGTAAAAGTCTGGCTAGAGATACTATTTTTTTTAGAGTCATCAAGATCTTAATGGAATTAAAGCCCATGACAATTGATGAGCTCATCAAGGTATTGATTAGTATTACTTTCTTTAATGGTATTTCTGCCCCTGCTTCTTTTCTCATTCACTTTCAAAGAGATAGGTAGCTTCTAATAACCTGTCCCATCTGCTCACACACAAAGGGTAGAAGGGATTCCACTGAGTCAGAAATCTGACCTACACAGAAAGTACCATTAGTAGGCCATCCTCAAACTTTGCCATAGTGTTAACATGGGAGTGAATTTTCCCAAGTACCTCCTTGCTGGAAACTGTTTGCACTGGAGGTAAGTGTGAAAGGGGCGGTTGTGGGAAATGCTGGGGTGAGGGCTTCCTAAACCTTTCTCAAACCTCAGAAATGGCTTGATTCTGAGGAAGGGTGAAGGTTCAGGCTGGTTCTTACTTCCATGAACCAGTTCATACAGCCCTAAATTTGATCTGCTTTCCTCAAACTGGGAGTCAGAAATCCCTTTTCTCTTCTGTTTTTCTGCTGCAGAAATTCCCAACATTCCCATTTTGTGGGCTCCAGAAAGGGGTAAGCGAAGACTTCAATCCCAGCCAATCATTTCCAGATTAATAATTTCTAGTGTTTTGATTTTTTTTGTCATTATAAAAATGCTTCAACCCATTTTCCCATCTGTTTAATTTTCTTGTGGATTGTATGTATCTATGTTCTAGGGTCACTCTGTATCTCTGGGCAATAGAGTTCAGATCCATTAGCTATTTCCATTTGTGTGCTGTTCTCTTATGGATTTTCATATGCAGTTTACTCGTGACTGTTTCCTAGATGGAAGACACCAAATTCAGGAGATTGCTTCACTCTGTCTCATTTTTTTCCTGAATGGTGTTTTGTTCCCCTGCTGACAGCTTTTCACTACCCTACCCAACTGCTTCTGATGATCTATCATTGCCTCTCTGCTATTCTGTCTTCCTGCTTTGACTGCCTTTGATTTTTTTTCTCTATTTTTTTTTTGCCCCACTTTACTCATCTGCTGATTAATTTGCATTCTTTACTCACTGTGCTTTGCCCAGCAGCAAATGGCCTGTTACTCTCATAGCCATTTGCTGTTTTAGCATTTTAGACTGCTCAGCATTGTCTGTCGGCACTCCTATGCCATCTGCCTGCTTGATCTTGCCCTGCCCAATCTATGCCTGTGATATATGTAGGTTCAGATTGTTTAGCACTTCTGCTGCTGATCTCCACTTGCCTTCTGCCACTAAGTTGGACTGCTGATTGAATTTGCTTTATGACTGTCTCCTATAACTATTTGTTGTACATGGCTGCCCCATTAGTTAACTTGAGATATTATATTCATCTCCTATGTACTCAGCCTTGAAACTTGCCATATTACCTCCTTTATACTTCTCTATATCTGATAAATCACTGGCATTGTTCCTCTGTTGTCTTGTAACCCTGATCAGGTTTTATTTCCAAGAAAAGTGTTGCCTACATATTGTCCAAACATATCTTAAAAATAGAAAAATGCTTTGCTTTTTAACAGTACAGTCCAATTTACTCTTAAACTGCCTTTTAAACTCATTTCCACCCATCCTTTTAGCTTTTTTATACAACTTTACATTTTTCTCTTTACTTAAGAATAGAATTTTTTTTCTAAGTCATTTGTTATCTTTGCCTTTTCACATCATATATTATGTACTTTTTATTCCTTATGTATAGGATATTTTAATAATTTTTCATATACTAAATTTATTTCCTAATTTATTTTCCCTAATATTTTCAGGGCATCATGAAGACAAATTACTCCCATTAATTTCATTTAAGACTAAAAGTATCATCTTTAAAACTAATACATTTACTTATAGTTTCTTTGTAGTTAACATTAAAGTAGCTTTCCACTCTGATCCATTTATTTAATTTATCTTTATTGTTAAAAGTATTAAAGATGTCCTTCCTTCCCCACCTCCAACCCCCCATTGACCTCTTCTATAGCCCCTGGTAATCTCTGTTTTACTTTCTGCCTCTGAATTTGCCTATTCTAGTACCTTGTATAAGTAGAATCATTCAATTTTTATTCTTCTAAGTCTGACTTATACTTAACATATTATTTTCAAGGTTGATTTATGTTGTAGCATATACTAGAATTTCTTTTTTGAGACTACTGTTTTATTGTATTTTTGTGCCACCTCTTGTTTATCCTTTCTTCTGGGCACTTGAGTTGTTCCATCTTTTTGCTATTATGAATAATGCTGCTATGAACATGGGTATGCAGGTATCTGTTTTTCTTTCCCTTCTCTTGGGTATTTACCTAAAAGTGTACTCAGAACTTTTAATATTTTGTATAAGAGGAAATAAAATCAATAGCAACGGCATCAGGAAACTGTATAATTAACACTAAAATGGATAAGTTCAAGATATTGCATTGGGAGCAAAAGAAATTAGAAAGGTTACAGGTGGCCAGGTGAAATTTAGAAGACCCTGGTAGAAATGAAAGGAGAATGAAGTGAAATAACACTCATGGTTGAAGGACATCAAAATGATTCTGAAGAGGGTTGAATTAAAAAATATACCAACTTCAGGACAGAATGATGGCATGTCTTTGAAATAGAGTAATGTGGACTTTTAAAGAAGAGAAGAGGGGGAGGCTTTTGAAAGGCAAGGTTTAAATGAAGATAATGGGACTGAATGAGGCAACCAGGGTGTATTTATAGAAACTAGCAACTGGAATAGGAATTTATTTCAATTGAGTAATCTTGGATACCCAGCCTTCTACCTATAAAGATTTTTCTAAAACTATTCCTGGACCTGCCCTGGCTGGGTGGCTCGGTTGGTTGGACATTGTTCCTTGCATCAAAAAGTTGCTAGTTTGATTCCCAGTCAGGGCACATGCAGGGCACATGCTCAGATGACGGACTCAAACCCTGATAGGGTATGTGCAGGAGACAGCTGATCAGTGTTTGGTTCTTACATCGATGTTTTTGTCTTTCTCTCTTTCTCTCTTTCTAAAAATCAAAAATATTTTTTAAAAACTTAAAAAATAATAATAATAAAAAGTCCTGGGCCCAACCCTCTGACATAATGAGTTGGAGATATGGTTTAGGTATTGAGTGTGTGTGAGTGTGTGTGTTTTAATCCACTGTTAAGGCACAATGTTTGTTAAATTGAACCGTGTAGCATAGTGTCCTAGACCTTACAGGGGTTACAAAAGTTGGGAAAAATTGGTAATTGTCTTCAAGGACTTTAAAACTGGAGTATTTAAATATGCAATAATAATGGATTTGGGAGAGAAGACTTTCAGTCCATTACTAGGTAATGTTTTCACTTGTTATCTCAATTTCTTGGGTGATTTTACATACTCTATTGAGTCTTTCTCAGCCAAGCTTCCTCATGTAACCTCTCAAAACACAGAAAATTGAGTGGCTGTCTTCTCAAATCTCCCAAGGTGGTACATAAACTTGTACTATTCTATATGTATAGGTGAGAAGTTATTTCATTACATACAATTATTCTATTAGAACCTATTTTAAAAGGCTTGCTCTATGCTATGTAGTCTATTAGGAATTGATACACAAAGATAAGGCTTCTCTTTCAAGGAGCTTACATCCTGAGAGAAGGGAAAAACCTTTTAACAAAAAATACATTTCTAATATCTACAAAATTTTGTTATTTTAATTCTTTAGGAAGAATGTTCTAAGTCAGAGTGATTGTATATAAGGACATTCTTTCACCTCTTGTAAGCATCATTGAATCAGGACTAAGAATGTCTTCTTTATTACCTGTAATGCCTTATCACAGCTGAATGACTCTGGTGATATTTTAAATGCCAATAAGAATCTCTTAGTTTTAAAACCTAGAGCATTCAGTGACAAATTAGTGATTTTTGTTGGTAGCTGTTAATAAACAGCATTACCTGAAACCAGTGTTTTTAGTTTGATAGTGGAAGAGTAGAGATTGGCTAGAGATAGATAACTAATATTTAGGAGGTTATTTTTTAATCTAATTATAAGCACAATAAGGATTTCCACTCTAAAGTATCCTAATATATAAAAATCCAGGGTCCATAATGACTGACCAAAGGTTCAACCGAATACTGGAAGTCAGTCCTGCAGTCAGTGTTTGGTTGCCGTGGTGACCCAGCACTGACTGCCGAGGGGGCTGCGGATCAGGCCTGGAGAGAGGCCTGGAGAGAGAGGCAGGGTCTGATCCGCAGCCTCTGTGGCAGCTGGTGATCAGCCATTGCCTCTCACTTTCTCTCCAGGCTTTGCCAGGAGCTATGCCTCTCTTTTTCTCCGGGCCTCAGCGGGGACTGCTGATCAGCCCCGCCTCTCTGATCAGGCCCAGAGATAGGCCTGGAGATGCTGACTGGCATAGAAACCGACCAATCAGAATCAAATCTGTGAACTACGAGGAGCCAATGGCTACCTAGGAGGCAGAGCTTCTGACGCTGACTGGCATAGAAACCAACCAATCAGACCAAGTTGGCCAGCAGGGGAGGGCAGTTGGGGGTGAGATCAGACCAGCAGGGGAGGGCAGATAAGGGTGATCACGCAAGCAGAGGCAATTAGGGGCAATCAGGCCAGCAGAGGAGGGCAGTTGGGAGCGAGATCATGCGGCAGGGAAGGGCAGTTAGGGGCGATCAGGCAGGCAGGCAGAGAGGTTAGGGATAATCAGTCAGGCAGGCAGGGGGTTAGGGGCAATCAGGCAGGCAGGCAGTGGCAGTTAGGGGCAATCAGGCAGGCAGGCAGATGAGAGGTTAGGAGCCAGTGGTCCCAGATTGCGAGAGGGATGTCCCTGATTGGAGAGGGTGCAGGCTGGGCTGAGGGAACCTCCCCTCTGTGCACGAATTTCATGCACCAGGCCACTAGTAACTATATATTTGAAAATGTTTGGGGATTTAATTTATTCTTACTATCAACTAAAGCTCATTTGAATTCCTGATGTCATAAAGTTCAGTCATCTTCGTTAGTTTTTATGATGGATTTTTTTAATTAGTCATTTGAACTAAAAATGCATTTGTCCTTAAATTTATGTGTGCCTTTAAATTTGAGAGCAGTTAGCTTTATTCCTATTGCTCACTGCTTCACACTTACTTTTCTAAAGGAATCTCTTTAAAGTGCTACACTAAAGTAAGTTTTAGGAACCTATTTATCCTCCCATCTCCTGATAGCCTACTGGTTATTTATTTTTTAACAGCACAGCTACAAAAAGATCAAAATGCTTGTGTCAGAAAAGAAGCACTAAAATAGAAATTACATCCAGATTTAAATTGTTTTCTTAATAATTTTTAACATTTTTGCTTGTATTCATTCTGAAAAACATTTTTAATGCAAGAAAAGATTATGCAGATATTTTAAAGTATAAGATCTGGGGATAAAGGAATAGCATCATTCTATTAAACTTGTTTATTCATAATATACTTTTTTGTGATCTCTGAAATCTTATTTTTATTTTGAGGAATGCTAAATTGAAAATAGAATTGTATACTGTATTTTTGTGAAAGTTAACCAGGAAAGGCAATATCTCTGTATCATTCCCTTATTAGTCTTCAAGTCCTTTTTAAATTTAATAACAAAATC